TACTAAAGTAATATAATATATTATTTGATAAATTAGTGAGTATAATGATAGATAGTTTTTAATAAATAATATAGCCATGTCTATTTATAATTATTCTCTTTATTCACAGTATCTATAAAATTACACTAATTTATATTTTTAACATTTTAAATAATAAATTCTCTCTTTACAATGGCAATATATATATACTACTATTATGTATTTTTATATAACCAGCTTTTAAAGATTTGAAGTAAAAAAAAGAATGCAAATGTTAATACATATTATATTGTAATTTGTATTATTTTATAATACTTACAATATAGTTATATTCAACCAATCAATATTATTTAAAATCTATATTGTAAAATATAAAAATTTACAAGTTTATTATAGTATCTTATATCAATATAGATATACTATACTGAATTTAATTTTGCATCCAATATTTTTCATGTATCTAAATTAGGGCTTTGGACCATTCTAGGATTAGGCCAGTTCTGTCTTTTTTGGGATAAACTAAAAGGACTATTAGTTCTAATATCAGTTATTATTAAAATTTGTATATAAAAATAATATATAATCTATCTGCAATATTTGATCTGATATTAAAGTTAATTCATGTATATAAATAATATATCTATTTAAAGTTGTAAAAAACTTTCTAATGAGTTAATATAAAGTCATATGCTAAGCAGTGAATACTTAATTACATGTTTGGTGCTTATATGTAAATGGTTTGAATTTAGAAAAAACCAAGTTTTTTTAGCATAAATCAGGTACATGTATAGAATACTCCAATTTTATAAATTGACTTTTCAATCACAATACTAATTTAGTTAAATATATAACAGTAGAATGTACTTTGATTATTTATTATATAAATTTGTGGTACAATAAGATTTCATATATAAAATTACAATACACTACTAATAAAAGTTTTCAAACCTATTGTTAGTTTTAACAAAATTGAATAATATACAGATTAAGCCTTCTATTTGTAGTAGTAAAATCTTCATAGATCATATTATTTTTAAAAAATATACTTCCTTATATAGTTAAATTTGCTGAGAGAACCTGTAGGTCTATATCATAGTGGTTAGTACTTCCAGGTCTCAATTGCAAGATTGCAAGTTCAAATCCATGGGGTCAATCTTTGCCAGAACCATAGTTGGTAATAAATTGCAGATATAGCCACAGAATAGTCATGTGAAGAAAAAGAAATCTGACATAAAGAAAGTCATTAATATAAAGAACCCCTGCTTTAGACCATGGTTTAAAAAAAAACCTAAAATAAGAACCAAGGTGTGTAGTACTAGTACAATGAATTAAGAAGAATCTAGATTTCCTGCAAAAGGCAACTAATATCTGGATAGACCCCTAGTAGTCTCAAGTGGTGCAGCTATAAAAAGAAGTACCAGTAAATACGAAAGTATATTAGGATAGGTATGGGAACCAAAACTGTTAATAAGAATAGGTTTGCAAGCAAACCTGAAAACACAGAGACAAAATTGGAACTGTAAGTAAGCAGGTAATGAATGAAGATAATACAGAGTCTGATTAATTGAGAGATATGATAGCTATAAAATAGGAAAGTGAATAATAAGGCCATAGTAAGTGGGAACTGCAGACCTCAAAGTCAGGGTCCTACACTGCAAGATCAGGGAGCTGGGCTACTGAAAAGTAGACTTACTGAATACGTGGTGTAAAAAGGCTGGGAATACCACTATAAGTAGTGATGTATGCAGTACTTAGTTGTAACTTAAATTCACTGTAATAATATAAGATCTTAATAAAAGAATGATGCCATTTTGCATTCTGTCAGTGATCATACCATCAGAGAAAATAAAAATTTGCTAGGAGAGCCAGGGTTATACAAAAAACAAATAATAAAAATATTTCTAAAACAGATCAAAGTTATGTTTATTATATAATTTGTTACACAAAAAGATTACCAATGCATATCAGATGATAATGATTTATATACACTCTACCTTTAATTAATCAAAAATAAAAGTCTTAAACTAAATCCTTACAATATAGTATTAATATGTTTGTAAGTTACTTGATGTAAGTTATTTGAGAAAAGCTACTTATTACTATTATTAAAGTGTTTCTCAACTTTTGGGTTTTACTCAATCAAATCTTACTAAAAAGATTTGCTTTGCTTAACAATGAAGACTGGAATATTGTACCAGATACTACTACAAAATTCCATATATAAAGTGATATATAAACACACAGGTTATAGTTTAGACAATTCTTTATTACTAAAGGCTATTCTATTCTATTTATTTGCTACCTAATTACTAAATCCATTGTTCTATTTATATAACATGATAATCGATCATACATGTAAGTTACACAAATCTGAATCTGAACCCATGCTACTAAACATGTGTCAATCAAATCTACCACATCAACTATCATATATTACTCTAACACAGGTCGAATTAAGGCAAATCGGGCACCAATCAGCATCACATAATCTCCGATATGAACCTGATTTGAAACAGATTTTTGCAAGAATCATATCACGAAAGCAATTATTTGTAGTAGCATTAAATGGTTGAAAATAATTGATGATCCAGACTAAAATACAATTTGTGTTGGGGTATTAGATACCAAATGATTTAGTATCATAGTGCAGCACTATATGATTGGCCTATTATATAAGATTTTTAAAATTTTGTCAATCAATTTATTAAAAAAATTTATCATTGTAATTTTATATAATAAAAACCATATATTTTTAAAATGTTCTAACTCTCGCTCTAGCAGAGCCAATTCAATTCTATAACTTGTAAATTATATATAAACAGGATGATTTTAAAACTATGTTGAGGTATTTTTTATTTCATTTTGTCAAGTTGGCAAAAATTACGAATTAATAATTATTTTAATGATTAATTTATAGAGAACTACTAAATTTACATATTAATATTAAATAAGGCAACATAGTTTTAAAAGCACACTATTTATACGCCGTTTACAAGTTACAGAATTAAATTTGCTCTACTATAGCGGGATTTAATAGTATTATTTATAAAGACCTACTAAAATTATTAAAAACATAATTTTAAAACCACAATATTTTTATAACATTCGCAAGTTACTAAATCGAATTTGCTTTACTAGAAAGAGAGTTACAACAGTTAAAAATACATAGTTTTATTATAATAAATTTTTTTTAATAAATTGATCGACGAAATTTTAAAAATCTTACATAGTGGGCCAATCATATAATGCTGCAGTATGATAGTAAATCATTTGGTATCTAACACCCCAATATTTGGTGCAAATATAGGCGATCAATACATATCGGAATATTTATAGCTCTATAGGTAAATCAAAAAAGCTACTGTATAGAACTATCGACATTCTGATATGTATTGATCGCCAATATTAACCCAATTTATATCTTAAAGATCTCCTATTTGCACCAAATACCTGGGGATTACGTGATGCCGACTGATACCAATTTGCCTTCATCCGAACTGTTTAATTTTTAGAGGTTTAAACAATGATAAAGATTTATAGTTTTTTTTATTTAATATCTATTTTATTATAATAACTGATTAGATATCTGATATACAAATTTAATATATTTAATTAGAATTATTGTATAGATATATCTACAAAAATTATGTATATGATTCTCAAAATTCACGCATATTTTCATCACTAATAATAATAGACAGGTTTAAATATTCGGTTAGAGATAGGCTTTATTTAATAAAACAAGTAATAAACGTAATAAAACAACATGTTGATGCAACTTATGTAGCATTTAATTAGTCTAATAATCAGTCATACTGATCGGTCCTAATCAGTCCTGGACCGCAGTCGATCCAACTTTTTAAAAGACCGTCGGTCTTTGGACCAAGACGGACCGGACGGACCGATTAACAGCCCTAATCAAATATTGGATTCGCCTTACTTCACAACAGTCATTTAACTAAAAACTCCTATGTAATGTTGGATAAATGAATATTCAGTGAAATGACTATTGAAGTGAGTAGCACCGCTAAATATGATCAATATGTATAACTATTCTGTATCGGGGTTATCTAATATTTTTAAATCAGGCTTATTCCTGGTTTAGTGCGAAAATTTCACCCAGCTACTTATTAATATAGTATATAGCAATATATGCGTATGAGATAATTAGCAAATAAATAATTTTCTCATTTCTGGTTTCTAGTGCAACTACGTTGCGCAACTATTTTATTAGCTAATTTTACTAATGTTTACTTAGTACGCATAAAATTTTTTTCTACGTTTGGCAATTTCATAGTGTTAATTATTTAAGAAGTGTGCATGTTTTAAAATATAGTACGCACATATGAATAAATAACTAAACTATAATACGTAATTAATTTTTACCCGATAAGGTTAGGTAATTGTTTTATATTTAGTAATTAAAATATGCGATATTTATTAATGCGTTTCAATAATAATAGATTTTGGATTTCATTTTTAATCGTTATTTATTCTTTGCAACTATTATATATATATTTACCTGTTAAGTGTCTTATATTTTGTAATTAAGATATACGTTATTTTATTCATGCATTTTAAAAAAAATTGGACTTCCTTTTTAACTGTCAGCTTGAGCTTGCGCAGCGCTTCGAATTCGAAAGTACTCCTCTTACGCAAAGAACAATCGGTTGAAATTTGTGAAACACTAAAATACCAAAAAAGTTAACTCAAAGAAAATCATACTAACGCGAATTGGTCGTAATAACGTACAGTATATTCAAACAACATTTCAACTAAATTTGGTTGGATCTACTTTATACGGCAAGTGTTATGAAGGTCATTACAGATCTATATCAAATATGGAAATCAATTTACTTGTTGTTTTTTTGTTACAAGCAGGCGTGTAGCAAATTGTGTTTCTGAGGCCGTTCCTTGTACGCAAAGTAACACGAAATTTATAATAAATATTCTTAACATTGTTTTCATTTGATTTATAACGTCCGTTCTTGAAATTTTTTATTTTTTTAAAAAATAAAATTATGGATAAGTGGATAAAAGTTTTTATTCTTTCATTTTTCATATCAATTCTGTTCCTAGTAATAGTATACTATATTCCTGCTGGCAGAGAATCATTACAGAGAATTAATGTAGATAATTTAGATGGTAAATATAATTTCATTGGAATTATTTTATATATTTATTATCTCAGAATGCGAAATTTTATCTGAAATTATAATATTTAAGAACCAATCGAAAATTATGATCGTGCAAATATTACTGGGTTCGTTGATCCTCTTATCGGAACCGCTAAAGGTTAGCATTGGTTTTAAATTTTATTTATTTCATCAAATTTCTATTAACAAATTTTAATCATGTTAGACGGACATGTATTCCCCGGCCCCTGCCTTCCGTTTGGTGTTGTTAAAGTAGGATTCGACGTGGAAGGTCTAGAT